GGAAAATTTCGTAAATGATACGAATAAAAATCCACCAATCTCAAAACCCCCTCAAATTTTTATATATGGCGTGAAATACTATAGTAAAATGATAGATAATTTAGCTCAAACAGTAGAAGTAGAAACTTACTTCACTAAAGCCTTAACAAACAATACAATAAAATTTTTACCAAAGACACCTGAATGCTACAAAAAACTAATACATCACATACGAGAGGAAAATATCGTCCTCCATACATACCAACCTAAGGAAGACAAAGCATACAGAGCATTTATTCGAGATCTACATCACTTTTTCGATAGATGAAATAAGAGCAGAAATCCAGAAAAAGGGTCATAAGGTAAGGAACTTAACAAATGTCAGACACATATTGAGCCGTGAACCATTACCATTATTTTTTGTGGACCTCGAGCCTCAAATGAATAACAAAGAAATATTTTAACTACAGTATATACAACATTGTAAAATAAGGATTGAGCCACCGAGAATTAAAAGAAATATACATCAATGTACACGATGTTAAAAATATGGTCACACTAACATGTACTAGGTATGCAAAACCATATAATTGCGTAAAATGCACTCCAGGTACTTGCACTAACTGCAACGGAGACTATCCTTCTAATTACAGAGGATGTTCTGTTTATCGTGAACTACTTAAATTCAGATACCATGACAAATCAAAACAAATCCGACTCAAAATCCTGTCAACAATCCCAATGTAAATTACATACCCAATATCATGTTCATAATTTCAAAAGAATCAGTTATAGAGATGCTACCATTGGAAACATAAATGCAGATAACAAAAATAACAACAATGAATTAACAGATAAACTATCAAATTTCCTAAGCGAATTTAAAAATATTTTCTTTTAACTCTTAAACCAAAATAGCATAATTTTAACCATGTTAACTACAGTCATTAACAAAATAGCTTTTAAGTCACTACGAATTGCATCGTGGAGTGCTAATGGCATTTCAAACCATATACTAGAGATATCACTGTTTTTAAAAATGTATAATATAGACATTCTATTATTATCTGAAAACCATGCCACACAAATAACGGCCATTAAGATAACTTACTATAGGTACAGTGCATTATGGAAACCATCCAGACGGAGGAGCACATGCAGGTTCTGCTGTTATAATTAAATCAAAAATTAAACATTATGCAGTCCAACCTTATATTACTGAAAAAATTCAAGTGGCAATCATTAAAATCGAAACAAACACCTGCCTCAGTGTATCATCAGTCTACAGCTCACCTAGACATCCAATTTCAAGCGAAGAGTATCATGATTTCATACTCTTGGATCCAAATTCATAGTAGCAGGAGACTGGAATGCTAAACACACCACATGGGATTCCAGATGAATCATGTCTAAAGGTCGAGCATTACTGAATATTATACAACAAAATAACTTATCCCGTAGATACTTATCTACGGGAGAACCCACATACTGGCCTATGGATGCCAACAAAATTCCAGATTTGGTAGATTTTGCTGTAACAAAAGGAATATGTGACATCCATAGTGCCATAGAGTCAAACTTCAATTTAACATCAGATCACACGATCACAGTACAATAATAATAACTTTAAGTACACACATAATATGGAGAACACCACCAGCCAAACTTACAACTAAGAACCAAACTTTTTTCAAAATTCTGTAAATCCAAAAATTAGACTAGATATTAGGATAAAAGAAAAGCAAGATGTAGAGAAAGCAGTAGACTATTTAACAACAGTTTTACAGACAACAGGATGGGAAGCAACACCACAGCGCCAAAGAAGTGTGCAAGAAAACCATAATATCCCCCTTCATATTTTACACTTTTTGGTTTCATATACAATCATTTTGGTTTTGAATAAAATATCATAATGCTCAAGAAAAAATTAAGAAGACGTAAAACCGATTGCAAAAACCATTCTTCCAAAAAGGTTACAACAAAGATAATAGGGAGAGTGCTAAGATAACACAAAATAAATATTTAATATCGACAAAAAAATCTTGACTATTTTTTCATCCACCAAATTAAAAATATCGTTTGAAAATCAAGGAGTATACGAGATTCCTTGTGGGGACTGTGGCAGCTTCTACATCGAACAGACCAACCGAACAGAAGAATCAAGGTTAGACGAGAAGAACATCAAAATGCCATCGACAGGAGAGAAAAAAACGACGTCCATTGGACAACTGTATCTCAAACACAGGACATACAATAAACCTGAGCAAACTACGATACTCGCTAATATTAAAATTAATAGAAAATGCGAAATTAGACGTTCAATAGAAATAGAAAAAAATTTCAACAGTCTAAACCAAAAAGACGATGCCTAATAACATGGAAAAAGCAAAAGTCAAAAATTAATCAGACCACAAGATCGACTAGTAGTACCCCTATAACTTATATACAAACAGAACCAATCAGAAGAAGCTTTGCCAAGGACCGTTCGAGAGAAGCGCACCAAAATCGGCTATATAAGCAACCGCTTCGATCAGGAAAGTCAGTTATACTAAGAAAGATAATGAGGTATGACGCTTTCCACAGATTCCACAGAGAATTAAACCCCCGATGGAAACGTAACCCCAAAAAACACCAGAGCGAGAAGAAATCACAAAAATCAAAATACAAAACACAAGGAAGATAGTTCGTAGCCCACCCAGGATACCGCATATCGCCAAACACACGGTGGACCCAGTTGCTCACACAAGGATAGAGTCTGTATTGTGGTATAGTATAATATTAATATATTTTCATTATATACTAATTCTGATTTTTGTTCACAGGGCCACCTACAAAAAAATCTACAAAAAACACAAAAAAACCGGCTTCGGCCACCAAAAAAATTTAAAAAATTACTAACAAAAACCAGCTTCGGCCACCAAAAAAATTAACAAAACCCCCAAAACCCCAGGGTCCAACCACTTGAGCACCAAGTCTCCGAACTGAGCCGGGACTTGAAACTTGAGGCCCAAGTAAGCAATTTTAGTTTGCGGATAAGCCACTTTAAGATACCAGGAATATAGCGGAGATGCGCTGTCCTGAGTTTTTGCATTCGGTTAGGAAACCATGTTCAAATGGTTCAAATGGAAATCAGCCAAAAGAGCATTTGGCTGATTGTTGTGCCTCTATTGCACATCAGAGTGCTATATGGGTGAAAGGGATGGTCTAGAGCATTGGAGCACGGTGGGGTGATTCCTGTTTATACTCGAGTTAACACACCTTGGTCCAATGAATTACACCCGATCGTAATTCTTAGGGGTGAACATTTCTCATAGGCTGGGTTTAATCAAATTGCTTGCTTGCTTGGAGAGTCAGTTTAATTCAAGCACCAGCAAGAATCGTTACTCCCTGACTTGACCTTCCATTTCTTTATCGATTTCTGAACTGGAAAACCTTCAAGACGAGTTTTGGCATCTTTAACAAACCCTTATCTCGGACGGTTACTTGAAATTCACAATGTTATATAAATTGCTTGAAAAAGCTACATACAAGTGTAGAAAAACGCCAAGATAAACTCTCACAAGTGGTGTCCAAAAAGGCCGTATTTAAGCCGATTAGTTATTAATTCAGTTTACTATGTTGTTACAATTTCTTATCATTCATGTACCTTCTCCAAAAAATATTAATCTCCTAGCTTGCTTTATTTGGAGCTATAATTAGATAAATATGTATTGTGACATAACTTACTTTTATTGTGAACTTCTCTAATTGCTATTTTACATCAAAGTATATTCCAAAGCACATGTTAGTTTAATTAATAATTTAATTAAATTAATTAATTAAGATAAATTTTTAATCTTGAAAAAATTTAAAAAATCATATATTTATTAAACCTGTCATACAGGGTGGTGAATCGTCAAACGGGCCATAGGAAACTCAATGGGAAATTCTAAATTGTTGAATTCCTGCTTCCCTAATTATTTTACACCAAAAGTCATGGGAAACTATTTGTAGAGGACTCAAATATGTATTGAAAACAACTGTTAAAATTATTCTACGACTTAAACGTATTCCAAAATTTTGCTAAAATATAATACAATTTTCTGTGAAAAAATGTGTATTACGTGTTGCGTTTTGTCATATTATTGTCTCTGATATTTGACAATATTTAAATCAATTATTTATATCTTTTATCTATAATTTAAATGGCTAAAATTTTGTGATTTATTGTTTAAAAAAAAATTAAGTTGATTAAAAAATGTACTCAGTTGAGGAGAAAAAAGCAATAATAAAAATGTTTTCTTCATGTTTTATTATAACATTTGTTATAGTTTTATGTTTAGAAATTATCATATATTATTATTAGGGATAAAGATCACAGTAACAGTATATTGGAATTCATTGAATTGTTGTATAACTTAACTTAACATGGAATTAAATTTTAGTGAATTAGAATATCTTACGTTAAATAAAGATCCGGTAGTGGCAGGAAAAGGATCGCTCTATGGCCTGAATACAACATTATGCGATTTTTCGTCAACTGAGTACATTTCATTATATTGATCGATTTGTAAACAATATAATTTATTGTTCACAAAGTAATAATGTTCAGTAGTAGTAGTATTTAGTAAAATTCATTGTTTATAATTTAATCATAAAATAAAAAAAAATGACAATTCAAATTGTCAAACATCTGACAAATATGATAAAACACATACGTCCTAATATATATTCTTGCATTACGTGTGGTCTAACTTTTAGAGGTAGCCTGAAAAATGTATTATATTTTTGCAAAATTTTGAAGTACATTTGATTCGTAGAACGGTTTTAACATTTGTTTTTAATTCAGATTTTAGTCCTCTACAAATAGTTTTTTATGACTTTTGATCTAAAATAATTAGGGAAGCAGCAATTCAACAATTTAAAATTTCTCATTGAATTTCCTATGGTCCGTTTGACGATTCACCACCCGGTATAACTTTATACTAAGAAAAAGTTAGTTTGAGATCTTGAAAAATAACAATAACCAAAAAAAAATTTACCTTCCTCCTCGGATCCTTTTCCCCATCCTGCAACAAGACATCTACCAGAATTCATGTTGAGATTATCAGGTGGTAAGCAAAGAGTATTTATGGAATTTGTTTTCGTAGGTTCGAAAGGTCTATCTAAGATTAATAAAGCTCCGTCATTGTAAAGGGCACCTCCATAATATTTTGGATGGTTTACTATTTCTGCGACGTTTCGCTCGTTATCGACATTATTTCCAACTTTGGTCAATTCCACATCACCAGTGAGGATTATTTTAAAGTCATTTGCATTTTTCCTGTAATTAAATTGTAATAGAGAATATAATTAGCTGCATTCTATTAAATAATGATACAGATATCAATAAGGCATTTTACAAATAACGATGATCGTAGAGTAATATATGTGTCAAATTTACGTGGAAAAATTTAATTTTACTAGAAAATTAAAAAAGAATTACCTAAAAATTGAAACAAAACTTCCCCAAAAAGCTGAAACTTCATTTAGTATGACTCCTGTTAAAAATATTAAATCTTGGAAGACATACATCTCATCTTTAACGTTCATTTAGGAAGCATGCTATGGATTTTGAAACTGGGAGAATATGTTATACAGTTTTTTGTTATTTTTTTTTCTTTTATTGTTGTGCTTTTTTGACAGTTTTGAAAAAATCTCTCAATGAATAAATTTTCTGACTCAAGCTTACAGCTAATAAATAAATATTATGATTTAACTGAAAAATATTGCCCAATAATGTATCTCAATGCTCTGTACAAGTTTCTTTTAATGACATAGACCATACTGCTAGTAACAACAGCTGCTAATATTGTCTAAACAGCAGCATTGTCTAATATAATATAAAACGATATTATAAATTTCAAACTATAGTAGCATTACAAATCTAAAACATTAAAATAATTATTAACCTCCTTAGTTCCAACGTCGTCTACACAATCCGCTCTGTGGCTCAGTGGTAAGAGCTCCTGCCTTTAAACCTAAAGGTCGTGAGTTCGAATCTCACCTGGGTGGAAATTTTCGTTTATTAAAAAAATTAATAAATGAAAATAATTTCTATCCTTGTGTGATCGGTACTCACCGGAGGGACCGCAGACGTTCGGATACAATAAGCGTCTCTTAGCAAAGACAATGACGTCGACTTTGCTAAGTATCAAGACAATTAGTCTACACACACAAACACACACTGCATTAATAAACTTATCTTGATTGAGACTGGCTGAATGACAATTGTCCAAGCCAAAACACAAAAAAAAAACGTCGTCTACACGTGACATTTTTTTCAAGCTGTTACCATGAAAACGTTTATGTGGTCTGACGGAGACATTGGGATTTTAGATATATTTTTTTACCGTTTGGATTTGATTATTAAAACATACAATTAGAACTTTTTCTTCAAATCTGTGAAATCCTGGTAACATAATTTTTTATGATTCGAACCACTGATCACGTCAGTTAAACAGGTTGTTTGCTGAATCCAAAACCTCAAGTAGTAGCTATAGACGAACAAATGATTTGTTTCTTGGGGCATTGTTCAGCCAGACAAGTAATCAAAATAAAGCCCAATCCATGTGGGTTGAAAAATTTTGTTGTTGATGATGATGTTTTGTAGTTGATGATATACATTTTAAACTTCTAGATGTTGGTGGTAAGACTGTGTTGAAGCTTCTGTGTACGTTTCCTCCTGGTGTTTCAGTTTATATGGATATATTTTAATTCTGAACATATTTTAAATTTATTACATTCAGAAAGAGAAGCTACAGGTACTGGCACTTTAAAACAAATAAGAATACCCAAGAATTCCAAGCTAAAAACTGATTTGAAAAAAGAAGGTAGGGGGCAATTTATAAGAGCATAAGATCAGACAGGAAGTGTCTGTTGTAAAATGGTTTTACATACGGTAAAGCCGTAATTTTGATGTCAAATAGAGAGGGCTCATAACCTGTCGATAAGTGTAGAAGATGGTGTAAAATACAAAAAAAAACTCATTGAAGTCAATAGGCCTCTGGCAGTTAAGGTTTACAATGCCAATATGGGAGGCATTTACTTCTTAGAACGAATGATAAGTAATTACAGGACTTCTGCTGCGTGAAGTAGGAAATGGACAGTTGGAGTTATCATGCATATGTTTGATTTCGCAATTTCAGCATCATGGATCGAATACCGAGGAGATCAGCGACTTCAGGACATCAGGAGAGCTCGAAGGATAGTGATCCAGATTATGAGTGTTCCTTTCCCCCTTCTCAGAAGTAAAAAGCACACTTTAGATTTACCAGAAATCTCAACCCCTACCAAAAAAAATTTATACCGAATGCCAGGTTGTTCAGCGAACTCAGCCTGAATCAGGTGTTCTACACCTGATTCGGCTGAGTTCTGGCCGACTTGTGTGTACTTGTGGTGTTGAGTTACTGTTTATTTATAATGTATAGTATTTTTTTTGTAAAACTAAAACTTTTTATTTGTTACTGTATATCTGGTTTTGTACCTTTTTCAAAATGCGCTGTGCAGTTGCTTGTTGCAATAGTGACAATGAAGATAAAATCTTTAGGTTTCATACATTTCCTAAAGATAGTTTGACCAGAAAACTGTGGATAATATCTTGTTTTAGATAGGATAAGTTTAATTGTAATACTGCAAGACTTTGTTCTAAACATTTTAAAACTGAAGATTACCAAAGAAATTTACAACAATAACTTTTAAATTACGTTTCTAAACAGGGTCTAAAACTCAAACCTGACGCAGTACCTATTCTTTATTTGCCTAAATCAAAATCGGCTACCCTTTCAACCAACCAAAAGAAACGCGTAGGTATATAGAGCCGAACACAGAGAGTTCAAAAAGTATGTTGAGCAGCTTCTTACTACTTCTAAGTCAACGATGTCTAAATCTTTATTTTTATTAATTATTATTTTAGTTATGATTAAATATTATAATAACATAATTTTATCATGTCTTTATAATTACTATAATCAAAAAAGCCAAATTATATAAAAAAAAACTTAAAATTAAAATCTTTACTATACAACTACATTCCAATGTTGCGGAAATAAGCGGTCTTGACTACGTCATGCGCGAAAGCGAACTGTTTTTGGAACATTATGTATGATACCTTGTATTCATTGTATGTGCCAAATTTTAATACAAACATATGTTATCTGTCGTATAATATACCAAACAACCTAATAAGTTTGCTTTTAGTAAATAAGTCAATTTAGCCTTCAAAAATTACAGCCTTAAAACTGTGTTAGTCATTTCATATACCAGAATATATTTTGTATAGTGGTGCTTAAAACAGTTTTGTTTACGTTAGTTACAAGTACAGTTAGTTACAAGAAGTACAGTAGATAGCGGGTAGGAACTCCTTTTTGGATAGTCCTATCAGGGAAAGTGAATCAATCTCTGCATTCCGCAGATTCCAGATGTTTCCTGACCCGGAAAACTAGTACCTACTAAGGGTCCCTTGTCCAGGGTCCAAGTCCACAACGGCATTCAGGGCGGAGAAAAAGGTCTTCACAACGGTCTGGAGGACGGAAGTGGCAGCCCCCTGGTTTTAGGGCTTGTTTAAAATCGAAGGGTAGGTGAGACTCTCTAGCTGTAGTGGAAGCAACTCGCATAGGAGAAGGATACTCTGATCCATGGCCCTCCAGGTTGGGGGCTGAGGCACCGGGCTAACTCTTCGGTTAGGTTCTAACACAGTAGACGAAAACAGCAAAGAAAACGGTTAATGAATTTTTGTACGTGGATTGTGCAAGGTATCTCCCGAAAAACACCAGAAATCATGTCAGAACTCAAAAATGCAGAGATAGATATCGAGGTGCTTAAAGAAACTAAAAAGGAAGGTATGGATTCTGAAAAGTGGTCACTATGACCTTATCTATAGTGGAGTAACTAAAGACCAAAGTGCACAACAAGGTGTAGCTATTGTTATCTACAAAACTTTAAAAAGACATATTACCTCTTGGGAAGCAATTAATCAGATATTGATAAAAATGAACATCACGATAAAATGCAGAAGAAGCACTGGGGAAATTTGACGAAATCATAAAGGAATAAAACCGTACTAGTGGGATAAAGAAATAAGGAAGGAAATTAAAGATAAACGTCAGAAATACCAAACATTCTTAACAACAAAAACAGAAAACGATAAAACAATTTAGTTTAAAGAAGCACAAGCCAAAGTAAGAAAAAAGATAACTCAAAAAAAGAACTAATCATGGGAACAGAACTGCCAAAAGATCAACACCTACATAGGAGGTAGAAGAAGCACAGAGAGTTGGAGATTGATTAAAAGTATGAGAAATAATAAGAAAAAATACGTTTTATGATCAATAACAACAGAAGAATGGGAAGAATATTTTAAAAAATTACTAACAGAACAAAGACCAGAATTTACTAACATGGAAGACAACACGATAGGTATACGTATAAATTCATCACCATTACAAATAAGTAAATCAGAGATGGAAGAAATAACCAAATCCCTGAAAAATGGAAAATTCTCTGGTCCTGGTGACATCCCTGCAGAATTAGTGAAAACCGGTACAGACACACTCCAGGAACAGGTAAGAAAACTCTTTCAAGACTGCTTGAATGGGGCCGAATTACCAAACGAATGAAAATTATCTATCATGTCAACTATCCACAAAAAGGGCAGCAAGGATCAATGTGAAAATTACAGAGGAATTGCGGTAAACAGCACAATAAGTAGGATGTATGGGAAACTTATTAAGAACAAAATAGAAAATGATTATAGAGATTACGAAGCAGAGGAGCAAGCTGGTTTTAGAGCTGGGCGATCCACATTAGATCACCTGTACTATATTACGCAAGTTATTGAGAAAAAACAGCCTTCAATAAAGAAGTTCACCTGGTGTACGTAGACTTACAAAAAGCATATGACAGTGTACCCCTATGTAAACTATGGTCAACGCTACAGCAAACCAACAGTAAGCATGATCTCATCAAAGCAGTCCAAAGTCTGTAAAATGGAACGACTGCTAAAATTAAGACTGGATCAAGGATATCTGAAGGATTTAAGGTCACGAAAGAACTAAAGCAGGGTTGCTGTATTTCGCCTACCTTTTTCAAAATATATCTGGAACAAGCACTCAAGCTGTGGAAAAGAAAATGTAATGGCATGGGAATCCCTCTCAATGACGAGACTACACTGTACACCTTATGTTTCGCTGATGACCAAATACTGATTGCTCTGAGTTACATGATTCGAAAGGTAATAGAAGAATATAACAAATGTGGTTTCGAAGTCAACATTAAGAAAACTGA